ATAATTTTATTGGGCAATTTCACTTGGGCCTGGCGTATGTGAAAATGAGTGCTCGCACGAAAGTAGCTGTAAATTCGTAATAGCTCGCGATTAGTGGTAACTGGAATCAATCGATCGGTCGGAGTGAAGGATCGATTTTAATCTTTTTTTTTCTTTTTTATTCAACTTTCAAAAATAAGTAACATACCTACATGCTACGTTTTGAGCGGTATTGTAATCATTGCGTGGGAAAAAGTATTTGGACGTGATTTTTCGGGCATTTTTCTGAGGAAAAACCTAAGGTAGTGGTCCCAGTTTTAAGACAGCTTTAAAACCTGTCCTTGTTATGAGACAGTCAATAATTAAGCTAATTGTGTAACTTTGAAAAAAAAAAAAAAAAACTTTATTTAGAAATTTCAATACCTTTTCTTTATTATTATTAAAAAATAGTGTAATTTTTTAGTTCCATTCCCATGTAACAAAAGTTAGAGTACATCACTGTCTTATAAACACGTACAAATAGGAGTACAGTCTCAAAATTGAATCCACCAGATTATTAAACACCTGAATACACTGAATAAGTATTACATCTTTTAGTTAAGCACACATACTATGTCCCAATTTTTAGGTTACATGTCTTATCAATAGGGATGTGCATAATTCTATTAATTATTTTAATTTAAAATTTATTGATAGGTTAAATTGAATGTGCAAATTTTCATTTACATTCAGAACAGTCGTACATATCCATACTCGCACAAAATAGTTTAAAGATTCATTTGAATTTGAATTTAATGTTGAACATAGGAATAAATATTTTTTTGGCGTCTTTTTTTCAGAAACACACCGTTTTTATATGAAAAAGAGGGGGATTACCATAGCTGGAAAATCCAACGACTTTATTAGGCATAACTTGGATGTGTAATTAAACTAAATGCAACCGATACTAAGTTAGTTCCGCCCCAAAAAGGGACTATGTATTATTTTTCAATAACCCCCCTTCCCCCCTATGGTACAGAAATAGTAATTATGCACACCAAAATCATACAAACATGCAACTATAAAAACAGCCAATAAGGCAGCGCTCGTCATCTCGGTAAACACTATACATCTCGGCCCATCTAAACTCTTGACACGTATCAACGAAAGCGTACATGGGAAGGGTCGATCGACCTCTATCCCCCCGAGTATGTGCCCTGCGCCGACAACTACACGACGGCAAAGGAGCCGCCACTACCACCACCATCACCGCGATAATCTCTCCTCGAATTTCCAGGTCAGCAGCAGGCGCGCGTGTATACTCGCTCGAGATTTTCGCAATGCAAGCCGCTAATTGAAACTCCACCCCTCCTTCTCGTGCTGCAGGCGCGTGATCGTGTAGACACACTGGGACACCCGCACAATTGCTCCCAGCGATCATATACGGCAAGCCTCTGGCAGTGACCCGTGCATGGTTTTGCGCGCGAGCGAAGGTTGGGGTGTTGGTTTTTTGGTTTTTCCGTGCCACTCGCACTTTTCCCTCGGTCGTTGCTGCTGCGCCTTGCTCCTTTCAAGAAAGAGAGACACGGTGACACCACCAAGTCATCGCCACGCTTTGCGTGTATACTCTCTGACTCTGCTGTTGTGCCGGAGTGCATTAAAAGGATAATGGGTACTTGCACGCGAACGGGGTCACGGGGCCGCTACTACCACTTTGCTTGTTTCTTTTTCTTTTTTTTTTTTTTTTTTTTTTTTTTTGCCTTTGCGTACTAGACGTTCTCCCTCTCTTTGTCTTTCTCTCCTCGTGACCTCAGCGTTTATGGGCGTTTGTTTTAATTGTGGTCTGCTTCTTATGATTTTGCACGAGCACTTCGCGATACATTGATTAGAAGCTTGGGTTTTCACTTTTTAGGCACAAGTTTGTCGTCTTTTCGTTCGATTATTTATTCTTATAATATGGTGCTTTTTGTCAGAGCAAAAACTGCGGCTTTAGGTATCATATGAATACTTGGGTTAAGGACGAATTTCAGGCATGTACCATGTAAGTTTGTCGAAACTTTGTATGCCTGCATCTGAATTTAACTTGTGCCTAGATAACTTCAATAATTATAGTCATACCTCATAATAAAAGTTGTTTTCTTCGATTACGCTTGGAACCGAAAAATTGCCATATTATTTGCTTTCAACGCTTTGTAACGAGATGTTTGATACACCGACAAGTATATTGCGGATATATAGATATATTGGATAGATTGGATTTAATCTTTAAAAAAAAAAAAAAAAAAAAAAAAAATCTACACGGGCTTTTAGATGTAATGTTAGTTAGTTTTTGATATGACAGAGTTGAATTCTTTGCAACACGATGCATTATGTAGAATTGAATAAAAATAAAAATTATGTACGAATCCTTAGAAACTAATAAAATAAACAGCATTCAATAATAATAGTTTTTTACTAGAGTATTCGTTAATTTTATTTTATTGTGTCATTGTGTGCAATAAAATTTTAAGGTATCTTAATTTATGTACTAATGATAATTTTTACTTCACTTTTAATTGTTTTGAAAGGTTCTGAAGCTACCAGCAAATGGAGAATAAATAGAAAATGTATTTCGCTCGATGAAGCAAGTTACTCTTACGACATTCGTTATTGACAAAGCTCGCCCCGGTTTTTCTAGTCCTCGATGAAAATCGGGTGTTTTTCACATCCAAGTGCAGGATGTTGTATCTACCAATACAAAATATTAGTTACCAAAAGCCTGTGAGATACTTGAAAAAAGTAGCTTAAACTCATACGATGGAACAAAACAAATATCTCGTCTGTCGTCTTGTGCATGAAATAAAATCAAACGACTGGTTGGAAAAACAGTGGCCACAAATCATGCGCATCAGTAAACAGAGAACTCGAAAGTTGCCGCTATTCCCCAATACGTGTTATACGCCTACAAGCTACGAGCGTCAACACGAAATCCAAGTCGTAAGAAGATCACGGCGTGCATAGCGGGTTTGTATTGTCATGGCCGCCTTTGATTTTCGACGATTCACTGTCGATCGGATGATGTCTCTGTTATTCCCTTGTCTTCCTGGAGCACAACAAAAGACTAATCCGCCCACTCGCTTGTACATGAATAGATAAGACATGTGTTGCTGTTGTTTTTTTTTTTTTTTTTCTTTTTTAATTTTCCGCTCGACTGAGTGGAGAATTTGTTAAGCGTAGCTAGATAACTTCCTCTTAAACTTTTTTTCTGATGTTACGTCTATTTTGTCAGTACTCAATTAAAAATACTTTGTAATACCTAAACTTTATTATTATTTCTCTTTGCTCGGTAAAATTGGTCCACGAAATGCTTAGATATTACCATGTTTCTACAAACATAAATACAAGCTCATACGAGAGTTGTTTTATTTATATCCAAATACGTTTCTTCATAGGGAGTTTCTTTGTGTTTCACATTTTTGAACCTAAAATATTCTGGAATGGAGATAAAAAGGTACAAAGTCAACTTTTTCGAAGTAAATTTCTAAAAATTGTTCATAAAATTGATTAAAAAAGAAAGACAAGACGGCAAAACTTGAATTTTTTTTCCAGAGGTAATGAGAATTGTAAAAGAAAACATAATCCATGTTCCACACACACGCACATAGACAAACATTTTTGTCGGGAAAAATGTATTTTAATTTCAATGTTTGTGTAGCATTACGTATAGATATGTGATTTTTTCACCCATAACAATGCTTTTACTGTAAAGATACAAAAGTACATTTACATTGCAACGTTCCTACTTGCCACTAAAAGTATATAATGTTGCTACTTCTTGACATATTTATCTAGTTTCTTACAGTTAACTCAGACTACTCAATTATTTTTACTCATTTGGTTTTAGGATAAAAAATTATACAAACTTTTTAATATCTCAGAAAAATTGTTCTCACAGCGAGGTATTTTAACCAAAAACGCCCGTGTCTGAATAAATATTAATTACGATTGTCAACATTAAGTTAAAAACCCCTTGTTTGAAAAAATAAAAGTAATTGAGGTTTGAAAAACCCGCTACATCGATCAACTGTCTTTTATAAAAGTATCTACTCAACTTTGTACACCAATGATCGACGAAAACGAGAATAAAAGCATAGACACATGGTGTATAATTTCAATTAAGTGCTTCGAAGTTATCCAATCTGTGGGACACTAAGTTTCGAAATTTCAGTCATCAATTTAATAGCCGAGATTAAAAGCGCAATTTTCACCCATCCAACATTTTGTCGAATAGACACCCATCAATTCCAACACGAAAGCACGATCAACTCGAGGAGGTGTGAAAGTTGCGTCTAATTGGCATGTCGAACGGTGAGCAGGTGTACAAAAAGTATAATCCAATATTTAACCCACTAAGCTAATGTACGTATTATGCATATGCGATTCGATCGAGTATCTCGAACGAATTCGTACATTAACGCATTGGTCAAGAGTACCATACTTTCACGAAGAATTTTTCAATCCTCCATTCGCAATGCTGTACCTCACTCGTCAGGATTACTTTCCGAACTCGCCAAAGAAATCCAAGAAACATCGCGCAAAAGCAAAAAAAGGACACCGAAACCGGAGGAATCGGAAAAACGGGACTTTGCACGGCTTTCACCCTTTCGCGTCTTATCCACCGTTTGGCGCTGAAAAAAAATTTGAAAGTAATATTTCCTTAAAAAAAAGGAACAAAAAGGAGAAGTACGATAAAAAAAAAAAAAAAAAAAAAACCCGTCGCGCAGGACGTACACGTAAAATCTGAAAACCTTCAACACTCCCGAGAAATAAGCGGCGGCGTCAATCGTCAACAAAACACGTTGCCCGAGAGTGCCACTTCTCTCTTACACTTCCGTGGACGCGTACAGCTGGGCATTAACATGCGACGGCCAGCCTTGCTTTCTCCCGCGAGCGCACTCCTTGCACGGAAATAGCGAGCGCATATATCATAACTGATAATGTATATACGGCTGTGCGTCCACGTGATCTCTAATCGAGCGTCTCCTATGTTTTTTTTTTTCCAGGTGACGCCCTGCAGGCTCACAAGACGTCGTATACAGTAGGAGGTAAGCGGAGCAGTGGGGCAGCATGTCGTACGCGAACCGCTTCCCGCCGAGCAAGACCACGCGCTTCCGCAGCAGCTGGGGCCCGTCCTCGGTGTCCGTTTTCCAGAGGGCCGACGTGCCCAGGTCCTCGCTCGAGGACGACGACTACGCGGACTACCACGAGCGGCTGCACTCGGCCCAGAGCCGGCAGCTCATACCGCTCCAGGAGGACCTGGCCGACTGGATCAACAAGACAATTAGTGAGTTACTGTTTTTTCTCTCTCTCTCTCTCTCTCTTTCTCTTCCATGCATGGGCTTGGGTGCGAGGTTTTTCTTGCGTAACAAACACTTCCTACACTGTTCTAAATCTGATGTTCAATTTCAAGCAGCAGAATTATGTGTTACATTGAACAGGTTACACTGAGAGGAAAATATAATAAAAATTACTGGGCTGGAATGGTAACCTGCTGGTACTGTTCGGTCGTCTAGAGACTTTTTACTATTGGAACAATAATTTTTAGTGTTTAGAACAGTAGCTTTTGTTGTAAGTATAGTGATTTTTACTGTTTGTACAATAGAAATTATACTGTCCACAATGGCTAAAAATTGGGTTGGCCAAAGTAAAAAGTCCCTATATACGGTGGAATAACACCAGATTACCATTCCAGCACAATAGTTTTCGAAAAAGTTTTTATTATATTTTTCTCTCAGAGTACACGCGGCTCGTTTCAGTTAATATTTCAAACAAATGTCATGTTAAACGTACACAAATCTTGTGTATTTTAACCTTATACAGAATATTGGCATACACTAATTGTGTGTATTTATAAATATTGTTTAAGTAAAATGATGCACAATTTTACGTCATTTTCACATTTACTTTGTGTAATTTAGTAAATAACATGAATTTTTTAACTGTGTACCTTTTTTTCTACTTGCGTTCTCATTTTCATCCTTACCAGAAAATTGTTATTTTTTTTTAAACGGAAAGAGTATTAATTATGTTATAAATTACTTTTGATCAATAACCACCCGAATCTTTTATCATTTTTTTTTGCAATACTTATGGGTATGGAAATCTACGACATTCTTTTCTTTTGTGCTTCAAACCGACGTTTGAGGATTGATTCGTGCAAATAAGAAAAATAATGATGAACGATAAAAATTACTGTTCTAGAATTACTAAAGTTACATAGAAGTAAAATAGCAAAATGGTGTATTGTTTAAATTACAACTGGGAGCAGTAAAAATCAGTGCGTATTAAAAACAAAAATTACGATACTGCACTTAAAAAAATAGTTTCGTATTTTACGAACATTTAACGAGTTTATGGCTTCGAAACAGTAATTTTTTTTCTCATATCTCTTAAAGTCAGTGCACCTGTAGATTACGTTATTTGAAAATCGTTATCTCAGTTGTGATTACGTATCATTTGAAACATATGTCTAACTAGGTAAAATACATGAATTATTAGAGTAATTGGTCTTTTTAACATTGAATATGCCTTTTTTTTTATTTGAAATTCAAGTAGCCACTCGCCGACTTGTTTACCTGCCCAGTAAAAAAAGTGAGTCACATTGTCTGCCAGGCATTTACTTGCTCTCGGGTGCGAATGAAAAGTTTTTTCTTGTGATCATTTTTATTCCATTATTATTTCAAACCAAAAAGCAATACAAAGTTTCGACAGCACAATAAAATGTAGAGGAGTCTTTACAATCGATTGGCACAAAAAAAAAACTCAATTTCGACAAAAAATGTCACTTTTCCGTGGGATGGCCGTAGCGTGTTCGTGATGCATGTCGAGCATCGATTACAAAAATTGTCAAAGCAGCATTCGGAGATAACAACTTCTGCCGCAGACACGAGTGAAGGCTTCGTGACCCGAACGTAAGACGATTTCTCCGCATGAAACGTAACGACCAACGCTGTAGGTATACCCACACAACCAAGCGCACGTCTAGAAATTGCTATTCTTGATTTACGAGCCATACCCTAGGGATAGAGCGCCCTATTTGCCAAAATTATCCGGTTCTTGGTTTACCCCTGTCCGTACACGTATATACATGGATTGCCCGCAGCGCATCCTTCGTCAAACAACACTGCCTCCCGTGCGACCGCGTCTGGCCGCTGACCTCTCGCAGACGTATTTTCGGGAAGCGCCGATCGATAGCTCTGCGTGCGTTCGAGATGAGCGAGTCGAACGGATGAACCCCGGTGTTTTATAATTGTACGAGCTGTTGGAAAAACTCATCATCGATGTTGCAGTCGATGATTTTACAATTCATAGGTATACTGAGGTACAATTGCGTTATTCAAGTTTCTATTTCTTAGTTGTGACAATAATATCTGTCTTTTTATCGGCTACAATTATTATACCAACTCTGGCTACGGAAAGTGTTATTCCATCCCTAAACGCATCGTTTGATTTCTTGTGACTGCTTTATCTGATGGTAGTATAGGTGTAGAATTGGGTTATTTATGTAGAAAAAAACTTATCAACACTGTTGTAGTGCATTTTTTCTAAATAATGATGTAAAATATCTTTTACTTGATTAACTTTTTCTAACTGTAAATGTATTTGCTTCGCGGAAGTCCTTGCAAGGATCGGGACAACGAGCTTGTAATAATAAAATGTACTAGCTTGTTCTATTATTTTCAACTTAGTACAAATTATTATTAAAAAGAGCAAAAGCATTCATGCTAATAGAAAAGTGCTCTACACTGTAAGTCCAAGCGTGTTAAAGAACTCGTTTAAGGTGGCTTCATCGATTTTTATCGGATTGATCAAAACCTCTAAAATTCTGGAATTATGTAAATAAAGTATGCCAAATTCATTTGCGATAAGAAAATACTAGTCAACGACTTAATTTTTTCGCAAATCGCTACCGAAGATTCACCAATTCAACACCTACTCTTATGAACAGTGGTCACAAAATCGACTATATCATCGGAAATCTTTGATTAACCTCAAAAATTTTAAATAGATCTTTTGTGTTTTTTACAAAGAATCTATTAAACTCTTAAAAATATAGGGTTAATGACATAATTTTTTTGCAAATTGCTACTGAAAATTCACCAATTTAACACCTACTCTTATGGACAGTGGTCACAAAATCGACTATACCATCGGAAATCTTTGATTAACCTCAAAAATTTTAAATAGATCTTTTGTGTTTTTTACAAAGAATCTATTAAACTCTTAAAAATATAGGGTTAATGACATAATTTTTTTGCAAATTGCTACTGAAAATTCACCAATTCAACACCTACTCTTATGGACAGTGGTCACAAAATCGACTATACCATCGGAAATCTTTGATTAACCTCAAAAATTTTAAATAGATCTTTTGTGTTTTTTACAAAGAATCTATTAAATTCTTAAAAATATAGGGTCAACAACTTAACTTAAGAGAAAATCGGAAGAAAAGTATGAAATATTAATCTGGTTTGCCTCGCAACATCTCCCAATTTTCACAACTATAATTTCACGGCACTTTCCTGGTAATTTATTGATCTTGTCCTCTGGTTTTATCGAATTAACTATATTTATTGAAAAATTAACCGTCAAAAAGTGTTGATTTTTTAGGGGCCCTTATGGCATACTACCCTAGGTACAATACCAACCGCCCAAGCCACTTTAAAGTGTGTAGTTACAATTTTTGTTTTTTATAAAATACATCGTGGTGACATGGATAAGAATTTTAAGAACAATTAAATCTGTGGTGCACCTGGTGTGGTTAATCAGTCCTATTAAACTGGACACTTTTGATAGGGAAAAATCAATGTAGAGGTGTGGAGTGAAAAAAGTAGACTGTTACAGATTTCACTCGCCCACAAGTGTGTAAAATCTGTGACAGAAATGCTTTACTTTCTACAACCTTCTCATGTCAATTATTGAAAAAAAAAAAAAAAAATAGTTTAGTTTAATATTACAGGTGGAATAGTTAACGAACCATCAATTTGGTTGTTTTTAAAAAATTTATCAAGACTATTATAATGCATTTTATAGAAAGCACACTTGGATTTTACAGTGTAATCAGCGATCGTTAGCTGGTTAACTTTGTTACACATGTACAAGTATGGAAATACGAAATTCAGGTAGTAGGGATAAGGTTAGTTTTTGGAATTAATGTCAGATAAAGAAAGAATAAGGGTGAAGAAAGATGAACATTGTCCGCAGAGATCTTTGTTTTGATTTGAGTGTCGGTCTATTAATGGCTGATTGGAGAGTATAAGTCCAACCAGAATATTTTTCATTATTTTATCTTGTTAATTTTTAGAAATGTACTGTGTGTTTTGTGTACAAATGGACAAACTGCGTTAAACCAATTTTTAACCCATTGAAAAATAGAGGAGTATTCATTCCAAAGTATAATAAATGGCCCCCTTTATTCAGAGTTGTATTTACCCCCTTTCAGCCCGTATAGTAGAGCCCCATGTTTTTCATTTTGCTTCATCAAGGGCAAGACTGCATTTGAATGTAAGTGATTTACGGTCTTAAAAGCCTTTGTACATGATGATTTGTGTACCAAATTAACTGTATAAGTTATGGTATTATCACTATCACGAATTACTCTCCCTTCAATGTTACATTTGTTACAAAAATTTGATATTTTTTAAAAACCGTTCATAATTTATTCTGTAGTGGCATTAAAATTTTTTGGTTGATTCAAAATGATTTTTGTCTGGTTTAAAGCATTGAGATGTCACTGTTAATGTTCAATACAAAAAAAAAACTATTTTGTTTAGATGTATAACTTGTGTATTTCTCACTTTGTTGTACAACGTAAACTTCATTTTTGTATGGACAAAAATAATTTTTTCACTATTTTTATTACTATCATTAAAAATCTAAAGCATATTATACTCGACTTTTTAAAAAGAAAAATTAACCATACGAAAAATGTATGTTTTAAGGATTTCAACTTTTATTTGTTTAATGGATTTTTCTTTCTTTGTAACTCAGCCGTCAAAGATCTGGGAATTGTATTTCTTGCGACAAATGCCTGAATGCCTCATATAGAATTTCAGTGCTAAAACCGAGTTTTTTTACCAAATTGTGAGGCTTAACCAAAAATTACTCAAGTTAATCTAGAAATACGAGCATATTTGTTGGTAAAAAGTTAGTTCCAGAATGCAAAAAAGAGTATTTTTCAAAACAAAACCACACATTTGACATCATACCAATAAGAATATTGAAGCAATTTCCTTAGCCTCGTGGAACAAATCTATGGTTGGAAAGAGATACAAGTTAATGCTG